TTGCTTTTTTGGTTCATTACATGTTGTCCCATGCTAGCCTTATGGCATATTGGTCCATGTTTGCATCACATTTGCATCTCATATGCCTTGCATAATTAGTATCATGTTGCATTTGAGCCATGTTGGCATAGCATGCGTTGCATTGCTTGGTTTGGGGTGTCAAACCAAGTGTGAGGGTTAAGGAGCGTTCATACTATAAGTGATGCAACGTGTCTTAACCCTCGGTCACCGTGGCCTTTGACTTCGATATGATAAGGTCTCGGTCCTCATTTGTGTGTTGCATCCATTTTTACATCAAGTGGCAAGCTTGATCCCTTGGGCTATCATGCACCATTGATGGCTCAAGGATCGAGGGCCATGCTTCCTTGAGTTCAACACATGATGGGAAACATGACCATGCTCACATGTGCTTGAAATCCCATGCCATATACTGTCTGTTCTCTGTTGTTGTCAAAACTGTCTCCTGCTGGAAGTTTCTGCCGACCGGCAGTATTCAATGCCGACCGGCCATATGTGAATGGCCGATAACTCCAGAAGCAGCCGATGGAAGTTATGCACTGCCGGTGGGCATTTCCCCCAGCCGGTGGTACTCTGCAGTATGCAACAAACCTGTCCCAGAACTTTGGCATTTTTTAGAGAAGTAGGGCAGTGTAAACAGAGGCATCCTTGGTATGGTACGGACTTTCCGGGCAAGGCGGGTTCGAGCATGCATCATTCGTGCATCCCGAGGCAGAGGCTGCGGCCACCTTTTTCCTTTTTTTTATTCTTTCTGTTAATTAAAAAATTTTGTAATAATTTATTTGTTTATTATTCGGACTGTAATATTTATTCGGACCCTCCGAGTGAGGGCAATTGTGTAATAAGTGTGCGTGAGTGTGTGTATGTCTTCCAACCTCACATCTTTCTTCCCTTTTATTTACCTGCTTATGATGGTAGACTAGGGCATATTTGAAATTAGCATACCTTATGCTATGCATGCGTGCATCCATACATTTGTCTTGCATGCATCGGGCTCGATACATCATGCTAACTGCATTTGTATTTCAATTCTAAATTAAATACGTGCATCAATTGATTGCATTTCACATCACATGTTTACTCTAATTGCATCTTGTATGTGTTGCATTAGTCAAATTGACATGAACTAGGACCATGCATGTTTGCTAACTAGTTTATTGTTTTGGCACGGAGCACGATGTAAGTATTTATGCTTTAGCATCTCGCACGAGTGTGAATGCTATCATGACAGTATGATCACCATGTGGCTAGATGCTTATGTGATAAACTGATTGATTGCCTGTGGGTGAAGGTTGGATTGTCTGAGTTGGAAAAACCCGTTGAAATCCGCGTTTTAGCCTACTTGCGAGTAGCAAATTCCAAAACATTTTTCAAAATAAACGGATATGCAATGCTTATTTCCAAATTAGGCAATCTAGTCTATACTTGTTTGCCGTGCGCATAACATAGTAATTATAGGTTAATAATCAGAATAAGAACACATAACGTTTTCAAAACTGGATATCACGGTTAGTAGAGGCCGGTCTTCAGACTGGGCGAGAGGGGGTGCTCATACCTGACCTTCCCCAATCGTACCCAAGCTCCCGAGCCGAGGCAACTTTGGCAACGACGGACACGTGGCCTTTGGCACCGAGTCAGGGTTCCCTAAATTCCCCCATTTTAAAATATTTAGGTGGCGACTCTGTATCTGGCAAAGCAGTCCATGTTTGGCACTTCTTTTCAAAAAAATCTGTTTCTCAAAACGATTTGCCAGATTTGGACTCTTTGGTTCAGATTACGAACCATGACAACAAATCGAGTCCGAACTATAGCAAGGGCCCCACGCGGGCACGTTTACAGATGCACTATAATTTAAGCAATTTATATATTTTTTGATCATGTTGGCACAATTCAATGGACTTCTTTGTATGTGATATGCTTCAACTTATGGCCCCATTATTGTATTTATTCTGTATTATTGTTTGAGGCCGTAAGTAATCAAGTGATTACTGGCCGGTTATGATCCTAATCCATAGGGGCGGTTTTGAGTCGTGACAGAGTGCAAGACACAATAAGTGACACCGCTTGAGCACACAATGACCCCCTCCCAGAAGTTCAAACCTGCAAAAAACTGTTCGAGTTTAAGAAATACCACTCGAGCGAAGATACCACACTTCCAGTAGTTTTGCAAACTGTAAAAGACCGCTCGAGCGCAAGAAAGACCGCTTGACCAAACAGGCAAAAAACTGGGCAAAAACTCTTTGAAAAACTAATTTCTCAACATGTTTCAAACGCAATCACAACTCCCAAACAACCAAACTCAACTAATAACAAGATGAAAATGAGATGAACAACAGTTAAGGATATGGATTCTCATATTCAAAAGTAAGAAATAGGTTGGGTCTAAACCAGAACCGTTATAAATTTTAAGTATAAAAATTGAAAAATGCTGTATACCAAGAATTTGTAGTCTAAAAATCATCCAAAAAGTAAAATATATTGTGTAAAAAAAAATTAATATAATATGGCTCACATCCAAAATGAATGTGATCTATTGATTTAGTTTTCTAGGTAATTGGTAATTTTCTCAATTTGTAATATATGGGAGATTCTACAATACAAATCCGTATATCAGAGGTAAGTTATGACATTTTATGACATTGATATTACTTCGCGTTATAATTAAACTGCTGTCAATCATTCAAAGGATCAATAATCATAACCACACACGATTTGAGACATAAATATGATTTTCCAATCATAATTAAAATAATAACCACAATATATTATAATTAAGTCACAAAAAACATTATGGATAATAATTAAGTTACAACCAACATGTTATAACTAGAGAAAATTTAAATTCAAGTCTCGTTTGAGAACTATGTATTTTAGCTAAAAGGTCGTTATAAGTTGTCACATTACTTTTTTTATTTTTCTGTACATCTTTTCGTAAGAAGTCAAAAAATTACTAAAATAGTCTGTTCCCAAACAAAATCTCAGTGTATATTTAAAAAATAATTACAGATCAATAAAAAAAATTATAAATATTAATAACTAAATTCTTAAAATTTTCCATCAACTTATAATAATTTTGTGGGAATACCATTGGGTGGCAATTTTCCGTTATAACTAAAGGCCACTAAATTCATAATTAAAGATATTTTTGTTGATAACTAATAGTACAATGCTCTACATAGTTTTTGACGATGTGATTGATAAATTCACTGGTCAGTAATTGGAAAAAATATTGAGATTACAATTTAAGTTCAACAATTTTTTCCTAGTGACATTGTAAGTTATATATCAAATTTTAATTTTTTATCATATCATGTAAAATAAATAAATAAATAAATCATGGAACACCATGTCACTAAAAAAAATTATAAATAATTAAAAAAAATAAAGCATAAAGCATATAAAAAAAAGAATAAAGAAGTCCTCGTCTAATGATTCACAGTTGCCTAGCTGTGAATCCGTAAGAAACTAAGCAAGCAAGAAAAGAGAGAGAGAGAGAGAGAGAGAGAGAGAGAGAGACCATGGCTGATGATGTGCCCATTTCAATTTTATTTCAGAAATTACAATATGTTCTTGTAGTTCTTGCCGAAGGAAGATTTATCTTTCCAGGACTAGCAAATCGTGTGGACGTTGCCTTGTGTTAGGTTTTTATTCTTGGCAATCCCGTTTGACAAAACTCCTTTCAGTTGTAATTTTATTCGCTCTTGTATTTCAGTGAGGATATGAGTTTTAAATGCGAATCCAACCCGAATTGTGCCTTGCAGAGAAGTTTGTGATGTTATTACTTTCAAGATTGCCACTTCGCTGATTATGACAGGGATCAAGCTGCCCGGTCAGCTCGTGGGGGTCCAGGGGGCAGCACCCCTTGGCGGGTCCGGGGCAGCACCCTGACAAGGTCGAGGGCAGCGCCCCCAAAGCAAAATGCAAAATTGCATTCGAAGTTGCATGTCCGCCCTTGCTCGCTCGAGTGAAGGTTGCGTCTGGCAAAAAACCTGAGAAGGATGAATGTACACTCGAGCAAAGGTTGTGTGGCTCGAGCGAAGCCACTTATGGAAAAACACGCGAGATTAGTTCCTCGCTCGAGCGAGCTTCGCAGTCCCAGATTTCTATAAGTACGTGTTTCTGTCAGATTTTAGGATTACTTCTTCAGATCTTTTTTTTGGATATTAAGGTTTATATATGGGGATATTTTGCTAGTTTTCTTTGATGTTTAATTAAGTATTCAACTCATGGGTTAAGAAGAATACATCAAAGGTTTGTTTGTTCATTGTATACAAAAGAGAGAGTTGTTCTTCGGTGGATTCTGAAGAATTTGAGTCTGAAGATTTGGTGGATTCTGGAGTGGCTCATCGTCAAGACAATTCCGAAGTGAAGACGGCGTTGGAAGAGACACATAGGGGTTGGTTCAATTCGGGCGTGGATTCGCTAGGTAATTGAGAGTATACCTGTGTAATTCCTTTATATCTTCTTAGTGGATTGTTTTGTGGCTGTTGCCCGTGGTTTTTTTATCACAATTGGAAGTGCTCCAATTGTGGTTTTTCACGTAAAATCGTTGTGTCGATTTGTCTTGATTGTTTGATTGGGATTGTTATATATTGCTTAAAATTGATACATAATCACAAAACAACATCTAGGGGATTTCTAGATTTTTCACCTTGAAAGAACTCAAACATATTTTGATCTTCCTCCATGCCGAAAACAACAATACCACTAGCTTCGATGAGTGTCGGCTTCGTCTTTGGCATCGACTTCTTCGCACTCTTTACTTTGCAGAATATATCATCGAATCTTTCCTTCTCAACACCCAACAAAGGAGACCATGGATCCAAATCCAGTTCACCTACAAAATGAATAAAATTGTACGGAGCTTCAGAGATGTATCTACTCAATCATTTCCACATCAACATCGACCGGCAACACAAATAGACCAATACAATATCCTCGATCATAAGAAATTTAATCAAACATTTGCAATGCATGAAAAAATGCAGCACGATGTACTTGTTGGACGTGGAGATGTCGAGAAGGAGTTAATAACTCGATTAACCGACAACGAGGAGGAGAAAAGCCTCTGTGTGATTTCTCTGGTGAGCGAAGAAGCGCTTGGAAAGACGGCACTGGCAAGGAATGTCTACAACAAAGTAGACATTCGGCAGCATTTCCAATGCCGTGCTTGGCTCCACGTCGCCAAAGATTTCACATACAAGGATCTGTTGCTTGCAATAATCAAACAGATTCCAATATGTGGCGTATTGGCTGACGTGGAGCTTATGAGCGAGCACCAACTGTCGGCTTTGCTTTTCCAAATTTTAATAGAGCTCTGGTTTTTAATAGTATTGGATGGTATCTACACCAATCATGTCTGGCTCGTGTTAGCACTCCATTCACTGTTGTTGCGAATGGAAGCAGAGTCATCCTCACTACGCGCGACTCTAAGGTTGCATCTGAGGTTGACCCGTGGGGTCACCCATTGAAACTCATGAGGTTATCTGATGAGGAGAGTTGCAAATTGTTCTTGAAGGTGGTAAATGGGGCAAATCATGATAATTTGAACAATTTCAAGGTAGGAATTGTGAGAATATGTCGCGGTTTGCCTCCAACAATTGTCCTGCTTGGAGGATTGTTTTCGAGCATACAACCGAATGACGAGTGGTCCGGTGTAACTGATCATCTTTCACAGTACTTGGGGGATGATGATCAATCAGTTGATCTCTTGACTATCGTAGCTTTAAGCTATCATGAGCTACCGTATGTGTTAAAGCCGTGTTTCCTTTGTTTGACTCTCTTCCCTAAAGCGTATGAGATTCCTACGCAAAGGTTGTTGCAGTTGTGGATTGCCAAGGAATTTATTCAAATATCAACTACTACCACGACTAGTGTCCTTGAACCTGAAGATCTGGCCAAGGCATATTTGGAAGAACTAGTATCGACAAACATGATTGAAATAGCCACATGGAAAGAACACGGAAGCCCCAAAACATGTCGAATGTCGAGCTTTCTTTACAATGTCTTCTTGCCAAAAGATGAGGATATAGGATTTCTTCAAATCCACCATTGCAATTCACATGTACATGAGTCTAATCAGATTATTCGGAGGCTTGCAGATCATTATGTTGGGGTCAAGTCTACTTTGGAGTCTCATACTCAACATCTATGCTCGTATGTTTCATTCGAAGCCCAAAAACAAGGTACATCTAACAGAGAAGTCGGTACATTGTTAAACACAATAATCAGTAAGAGGAGATCTAGAGGTATTTTCCTGATGAAAGTGCTTGATCTAGAGGGTGTCTACAAACCTTTGCTACCCGAGAAACTCAGCTAATACTTACAGAACCTAAGGTCCATAGGCTTGCGATGGACCGGTCTAAAATCTTGTCCGGAATCAATTGGGGATCTACCATGCTTGGAGACTTTAGATTTGAAGTATACTAATATAACCACTTTGCTGGGTTCCATTTGGAAGGCAAAGAACCTTCGACATCTCTTTATGAACGAGGTGTCAATTGCGAAGCCATCATCAAAAGAGTCTTCACGGACAAACCTTCAGACCTTAATGGGCCTCCTGCTTGGTGCTAAGGACCCTTATGAATACGGCTTAGATTGGTTCACCAGCCTTCGGAAATTGGGAGTGTCATGCCATCCAAAATCAGCAGAGAAAACAGCCAAGTGCATATCAGGACTTGACAAACTCCAAACCTTAAGATTGAGATCAAAAGATTGATTTGGTCAACCTTTAGACCTCGAGTTGAGTCCTTTGAAGCACCATCAGTCTCTTTCGAACTTATATTTGTTTGGAGTGATAAAGGATGGAATTAAATACCTTCCCCTGAATCTCAAAGTCCTAGTCAATGTCAAAACTCACAGAAGATCCAATGCCGGTGATAAGGAAGTTGATGCCTCAACTGAAAGTCCTCAAGATTCTTGCTTTCTCTTATCTAGGGTCGGAAATGAGATGTGTTTTGGGGAACTTCCCTAAACTCCATGTCTTGAAATTGTGGATGCTAAAAAACCTAGTTCAGTGGACATTGGAGGGAGGTGCCATGCCCCAACTTGCGGAGTTAGAAATTAGAGGTTGCAAAAACTTGATGAAGTTGGATGGATTAGAGCACCTGCCTGCCCTGAAGAAATTACCTTTAACAAACATGTCGCCAGATTTTGTTGCAGATGTTAAAAAAAGGTTAGGAAGAAACATTTTACTCACCAATGAGTGGGAGCCTTCATCCCTCGCATGTAAGTTTTTTTCATTTGTAATATACTGTTTATCATTTTTTTTAATGAACCAAATGTGAGCAAATCACTAAGGATCTTCTAATTATATTAATGTTTTTAATGAAGGATTAATGCTCGTGGATACTGGAGACTGGAATAAAATGCAGTTTTAATTTGGAGTCAAGACTGTCAAAGATTTCAAAGAGTTTATTGTAGACGCGCCCGAGGGCTTTGCTACTACAGTTCGTACTCAAATGTCATGGTTCTGAATCTAATCCCGTAAAGTGCAATGCGAGACCGATAAATCACCAAAAAGTCCAAATCCGGCAAATCGTTTTGGAAGATTGATTTTTAAGAAAGAAGTGTCAAACATGGACTACTTTGCCAGATACAGAGTCGCCACCTAAATATTTTATTTTGGGGGAATTTAGGAAACCCTAACTCGTGCCTTAGGCCACGTGTCCGTTATTACCAAAGTTGCCTCGGCTCGGGAACTTGGGTACGATTGGGGAAGGTCATGCAATGAGCACCCCCACTCGCCCGATCAAAGATCATCCACTACTAAACATGATATCTTGTTTTTGAAAACACATGCGTTCTTATTCCGGTTAATTAGCTAATCTTTACTACGTGATGCGCACAACAAAACAAGTATAGACTAGATCGCCTAATTTGGAACAAAGCATCGCATATCCATTTGTTTGGAAAATGGTTTGAGATTTGCTACTCGCAAGTAGGCTAAATCACGGATTTCAAGGAATTGTTCCAATTCAAGCAATCCAACCTTCACCCACAGGCATTCAGGCAGTTATATCACATAAGCAATTAGCCTCATGGCAAGCATGCTTTCATTGCAACATTAACACATATGCAGTATGCTAAAGCGTAAACACTCACAGTGTACTCTGAGCCAAAACAAGAAACTAGTTAGAAATCATGTATGATCCTAGTTTATGTTAAGATGGCTAATGCAACACAGGCAAAAATGCAACTAGAATAGGCTCGGCTATCCTAAGAATGCAATGCAAAGAAACACATAAGTGTAATCAAAACAAGATATCATGAGTTCGAGTCAAGCTCTCTAACTCCCCAGCGGAGTTGCCAGAAACTGTAGACGCGCCCGAGGGCTTTGCTACTGCAGTTTGGACTCAAATGTCACGGTTCTGAATCTAATCCCGCAAAGTGCAATACGAGACCGATAAATCACCAAAGAGTCCAAATCCGGCAAATCATTTTGGAAAACTGATTTTTAAGAAAGAAGTGTCAAACATGGACTGCTTTGCCAGATACAGAGTCGCCACCTAAATATTTTATTTTGGGAGAATTTAGGAAACCCTGACTCGTGCCTAAGGCCACGTGTCCGTCATCACCAAAGTTGCCTCAGCTCGGGAACTTGGGTACGATTAGGGAAGGTCATGCAATGAGCACCCCCGTTCGCCTGATCAAAGATCCGCCACAACTAAACATGATATTTTGTTTTTGAAAACACATGCGTTCTTATTCCGGTTAATTAGCTAATCTTTACTACTTGATGCGCACTGCAAAACAAGTATAGACTAGATCGCCTAATTTAAAACAAAGTATCGCATATCCGTTTGTTTGGAAAATGGTTTGAGATTTGCTACTCGCAAGTAGGCTAAATCATGGATTTCAATGAATTGTTCCAATTCAAGCAATCCGACCTTCACCCACAGGCATTCAGGTAGTTTTATCACATAAGCAATTAGCCTCATGGCAAGCATGTTTTCATGGCAACATTAACACATATGCAGTATGCTAAAGCATAAACACTCACAGTGCACTCCGAGCCAAAACAAAGAAGTAGTTAGTAATCAATGCATGATCCTAGTTCATATTAATAATGGCTAATGCATCACATGCAAAATGCAACTAGAAATAGGCTCAGCTATTCTAAGATGGCATGTGAGATGTGACAATTCGATACATGTATTCAACTTGGAATTGAAATACGATGCAATTAATATGATGCGCCGAGCCCGGTGCATGCAATACTGATGAATGAATGCAAACATGCAAGCATAAGTATGCTAAAATGAAATATGCCCTAAATCTAACCATCGTAAGCGGTTAAATAAAAGGGAGAAAGACATGGGGGTTGGAAGATATGCATCACACACACGCACGCTTACTACACAATTGTGCCCTCTCGACGGAGGGACCGAAAGAATAATACAAATTAACTAAATAACAAGCTAATTAATTATTTCACAACACTTAACTAATTAAACAAATTAATTAAGGTACTAAAGCAGTAAAGCAGCCTCAAGAAGAGGGATGCATGCATGCTCGGTCGGCTTCGCTCGGAAATCCATTGCCATGTCATGTTGCCTCTGTTTGCACTGCTCTGCACCTCTGAAACTGCACAAGTCTCAAGGATACTTCTGAACCACCTTGGGGACATGCTGAGAGTCCATCGACCAAGAGACAAGGCCATCGACCAAGGAGAACTGATCATCAACCATGTGTGAGGCTCTTGGCCAACAATTTGTAGCCAACCGGCACTCCTGATGGCCGACCGGCCATCTATTCCTACAGAATGTTGTTTTCCTGCAGCAGAGGACAAACAGAGAATGGCAATGCATTTACAAGGCAATGTTTGCACAACCACCCTCCTTATCATGTTATGAACTCAAGGGAGTATGGTTCTCGACCCTCGGACCATCAATCACGCATTTCAATGCATGATGGCCAAAGGAGCCAAGTGTGCATTTAATATCAAATGAAATGCACACAAAACAAACAAAGGGGCCCAAACTCTATCATGGTTGATCAAGAGGCAAGGGATGCAAACATGCAAGCAAAACTAATGCAACATGAGCGTGCTAAGGACAATGCCATACAAGGCTAATGGTAATAAGCATGCCAAATGCAATGCGACCTAGACAAGCATGCAAACATGCAAGGCATGTGACAACATTCAAGGATAGGCAAGCATGTAACAACATGTGAGGCAAGCATGCAAACATGCAAAGCAACTTAACAAAAGTGAGGATAGGCAAGCATGTAACAACATGTAGGGCAAGCATGCAAACATGCAAAGCAACTTAACAAAAGTGCATGCCAAATGCAAGACAACTCAAGCATGCAACAACATGCAGAGATGGTCTTAAACCAAAATGGGCAGCTCTCAAATAGGTCCAAATCAGTGGCCAAAATGATGCGACAAAGACATGAAATACACATGTAAACATGCATGCTAATTATCCTAGCACTTAGGCATAAAAGGGTGACTTTTAAGCACACTTAAAAGAGGATAAATATGGACATATGATAAACATGGTAAGCTCTGAAATCAGTTTAGGGATGATCCCAAATCAACCTAATAATGCAAGTAAGGCATGCAATAAAGCCCAAAACTTGAAACTAGCCAAGGGACTTAAACCAAGGCTACATGAAGCAAGCCCTAAAGGGCCAGGGGGACCTAAAACAGTCCCAAGGTAGGTCTAAACAAGACCAAAAGTGAGCTCAAAACTAGCCAACACAAGCTAGAACACAATGCCAAAACATGAGGCATGCAAGGCCACAAAAGAGGTGTTACACTACACCTAACATAACCAAATATGGCATGACTTAAGCAACCAAAATCAGAGTTATGGCATGTCAAAATGACCCCAAAAACTCACTTAGATGGCATCCCAAAGACCAAAGCATGATGGCATACACAATGGCACATTCATGAGGCATAAAACACACCCTTTAAAACATTAAAGGAGTAATAAGTGCAAGTGTTTGAGCATGAAACATGGACTGAAATAACATTACAAGTGATGCCAAACCACGGAAATGATCCGAATAGAGCATGCTAGTGACTTAAACACCCAAAGTTAACAAGCTAGATTGCATGGTAGCTATACAAAACAATGTAAGCATGAGCAAAACAATGAAAAATAGAGCTCAAACATGTCAAAACAAGCCTAGAAGCTTCATGAAGTGGAGCCAAAACCATGCTAAAATGACATGTTACAACATGATGCATGTGTAAGGCAAATCATGGGATTACAAGACAAGTACATGAAGCATGCATGGTATGTCTAAACCAAGTCAAAATAGTGCTATATCATGGCAAAACAAAGCCTAATATATACTGAAATGAAGCTAAAACAAGCTAAGCATACAAGCTACAAACATAAGCCATTTATGTAAGCATTCAAAACAACAAGGAGAGAGGATGACCCTCTCCTATTTAGGACACCAAAACCACCTTTCCACCACTGAAAATCCTCTGGATTTTAGTGGTAGAAAGGTCATGCAAAGCTCAAAGCAAGGGCCAAAAGGGATGGCCTAAAACAAGGCCTAACAAGGCCTAAGAGGGGGAAAAACCCCAAACCTCAAAATGACCTTAAACAAAGATCTAAAGCACACAAAATCAAAACTTTTATCAGTTATAAACTAAGCTTAAAACAATAAGCAAGAAGGGCTAAAAGCTTAAGTAAGAAAGGGGTATCTAAAGCAAGAATGTTCACCCTTGAATAACACCTTCAAGAACACCAC